GAAGCGTCACTTCGATGGTGTTGCTTGGGCTTGTATATCTCAGGATCTCCAAATGCATGATGTTCTCCAAGAGATCCTAATTAAACTTGTACCAGAGAGGAAGGATGAGATTCACAACATGAGAGACAATGAGCTAGTGAGGTTGCTTCGTGAAGTCCAACAGAATAAAAAATGCTTCATAGTTTTGGATGATATTTGGACAGTGGAGGATTGGGACATCCTGCGGTCTGCCTTTTTTATTGCAGTGACAAGCAGTAGCAAATTATTAGTTACGACCCGGAATAAAGAAGTGGCTTTGCATGTGGATCCACATGGATTCCTCCATGAACCACGATTTTTGACAGAAGTTGAAAGTTGGGAGCTGCTTCAAAAGAAAGCATTTAGAAGAACGGATGGTTCAGGTAACTTATTATCCCCACTTCCCATCGTTACATTGTTATTACATATCTAATTTGTTGCGAAAATTAAGAGAAAATAAGTTAGAAATTGATCAACTGAAACTCGACAGCTAGTGACTAGTCTAGATTGAAATCTTTTGGTGATTATGTCAACTAAATCATTAAATTAATGGAACTCCTAAGTATCTTACTGGAAATTTGCTTTAAGACAAGTCTGTAAATAGGAGAATGAAGCCCTGTTTTACACTAGGGACGGCGCAGAAAAAAATAATAGACCTTTTAATATTGGCAAAGATGCTAGATCAATTACTGAAGTTCTCTATTATATTCGAATTTAAAACTTCCACATAGTAGAGCTTCCCTGCACTAAACACAATGAAGACATTTGCAAAACATTAGTGAGTTTAAACTTGTTGCATCTCTAGTCGAGTATGAAGTTTCTATGTGTAGCAGCCTCTCTCAGTATCCTTGCCAAGACTTCCATTATCATAAGGAGCAGGTAAAGTGAGAGGGGTCACCTTGTCTTATGACTTCTGTTCATCATCATCATTATCATCATCCTTGCCTTAATCCTATATGAATGGAGTCGATCACATGAATTCTCTTTTCAATCTTTTCTATCACATGTCATGATTTCACCTAATGGCTGCCCTCTCCGTCTCTTACCTTCTAGTATAACTAGTTTTGCTGTTACTGGAACATCTCTGGGAATCCTGTGTATTTGTCCAAAACATCTAAGTCTACTCTTTCTAATTTTCTCACAAATGGGTACTACACCTAATTTTTTTTGATAAGTGGTACTACACCTAATTTTCCTCCTACATTTTCATTAATGAACCTATGTCTTGTACACACCACTCATCCATCTTAACATTTCCTTTCTTTGTTTTTTGTTTCCCCCTTTTTTATCGCCCAACACTCCACTGCATACAATATAGTTGGTTTAACAACGGTTCTATAAAATTTTCCTTTTAGCTTATGTGTTATTCTTTTATCACATGATATCCCACTAGTTAGCCTCCATTTTGTCTAATCCGCACCAATTCTACTAGTTATGCCATTATTTACCTCTCCATCATTTTGTATTATCGACCCTAGGTACTAAAATTGGTTATTTTGAGTAACCTTTCGGTTGTGAATTTATATTATTATATTATTAATGTCCGAATCTTTGTTAAATTTACATTCTATAAACTCGATTTTAATTGGACTTTTTTTTTTTTTTTTTAATTTTTTAATTGTGCACATATTAGACATGACAAAAAGTTGGAGGAGTTAGGGAGGCAAATGGTTGGACACTGTGGAGGTCTACCATTAGCTGTTGTTTTGCTGGGAGGCATTTTGGTAAAAAAACATACGTGCCAGTGGGAGAAGGTGCTTGGAAATATTAATTCATACATAAGTAGGGGCACAAGCATCGGACAACAACGTGGTGGAGTATCACAAGTGTTAGCTTTAAGTTACGATGAATTACCATATCAGTTAAAGCGATGCTTTCTTTATTTAGGCAGTTTCCCACAAAATTGTAATTTGGGTACAGAGAGATTATGTCAATTGTGGATTGCTGAAGGTTTGGTATTGTCAGATGACATGGCAGAGGAAGAAACATTGATGGATGTTGGGCAGCGTTATATATGTGAATTGGCACAGAGGTACATGATTCGGTTGGGAGTACAGGAGTCTTGGGAGGAGAATGAATATTGCAGACTTCACGACAGGATGAGGGAATTATGCTTGTCAAAGGTGAAAGAAGTAAATTTCCTCGATTTAATTGATACCCGGCCTGGAAAGGAGACAAAACTTTTGGATTCGACTTCATCATTTTCATCAAATTGCAAAGTACGCAGACTTACCATCCTTTTGTCCAACAGTGATAATGAAGATAAGTGGGTTCCTCCTGCATACCTAGCATCTCAGCAGCACCTTCGATCTCTATTATTCTTTCAGAGATTTCCAGTAAACGGCCACGTGAATTGCTCGACAGAGTTATTTATGCCGGTATCCCATTTGGAAGGCTTCAAAGTGTTAAGAGTTCTACAGCTTGATGGAGTTGACGTATCCTAAAGACAAGGACTTAGTCAGAGCAGCGATAGAAAAGCTAATCCACTTGAGATATTTGAGTTTCAGATTTTGTTCGCTCAATGAATTGCCATCATCTATAGACAACTTGAGATACTTGCAAACCCTAGATTTACGGGATAATGACAAATTGGTAATACCAAATGTCTTATGGAAGATAAAAAGCTTGACACATCTGTATCTTAATAGAAGTACAAGAGACGAAAGAAAATGGAATAGATTGGATGGGTTGAGCAAGCTGGAGATACTGGAAAACTTCAATACAACACGATTTGCTTTTAAAGACCTATTCAAGCTAACCAATCTTACAAAACTAAAAGTAGAAATCCTTTATGAAAAGAGATCGAACGTGATGGCCATCATCAATTATCTAAGCAGCAGTAGCACCACGAACCACCGGCTACGCCACTTGACAATTATTATTTATTATGAGTTTGATGCGGAAGAAGATCTAATTCTTTTGAGAGGCCTGTTAGAGTGTCATCATCTTATTGAATTGGACATAATAGGGGTTATAAGCAAGTTTCCAGAACACCACTTATTCTCTCCTAGCCTCACCCATTTAGAATTTTGTTGTTGTAAACTCACCCAGGACCCAATGCCAACACTGGAGAAGTTGCCTAACTTAAAAGGAGTCCGCCTGCTCGAACGCTCCTTTGTGGGAGTGAAAATGGTTTGCTCTGAGAACGGTTTCCCTCAACTTAAATATCTACACCTCTGGGGTTTATTCAACTTGGAGGAGTGGAGGGTGGATGAAGGAGCCATGCCCAATCTTATTGATTTATTATTTCAAGAATGCTTGAGATTGAAGATGGTTCCCGATGGATTGAGATTCGTCAACAAGCTCCAGGATTTGCATATAAGGAAAATGCCAGAAGCATTTGCTCGAAGACTTCAAGTGGTAGATGGAAAAGAAGGAGCTGATCACTACAAAATCCAACATGTGCCTTTCGTCCATTTCTATGATAAAATCAGGTGTTGTGCTTTCTCAAGGCTGAACCAATCCTTTTTATTTAATTATTTTTATATGCCATAATGTTTAGACTTGCCTAAAGTAGTTTTTTTTTTACTCATATGCATACAATTTTACACTCTTTCTAAACAACACATTTCTTGATTTTTCAACCTATAAGTGATGCACCAAACTGATCGGTCCTCTGCTAGCCATTCTCTCTGTGTAAGTTTATTGTCTATCCATTTCATATTTTTATCTAAATGGAGAAATCAAAAACGTTTTCATACATCTTCACTAATTTCCCGTATTGATGTATGATTCAACCATTAAGTTACTTTTACATGTCTCTTATTTTGTTTTTGATGTAACATTCTCATCTTTTTTGCAATTTGATGTTTGAAATCTCATGAGCTTTAACAAATCATGGTTATTTTTACTGTTATGTGTAATTGTTATAGTACTGTCCTCATCTTAATTCCTTTATTGTTATTTTGAACCTTCACCCCGGTGATTGAAGATCATAGCGAGAGCTGCCATAACCATTTAGAAGAAGACTTCAAGTGGTAGATGGAAAAGGAGGAGCAAATCTGTACGAAGTCAGGCATGTACACCTTCTATCAGATTTTAACCACGGTGTTTTTCCATAAATCTCAATTCTTTGATGAATTGAAGCAGAAACAATCAGGTGTTCTCTTAAGAATTATTTTTATTTTTATTTTATTGATTTCTTATGCAAATTCTGTGTTCTGAAAATTTGAAATACATGTCAAGTTGGAATGTTTGCCTAATTTATCTTTTACAAATTTGCCAACAGCATTAAGTTTCTAACTTCTATGCATACAGACTCCTATTACTGACATACCTCTTGATTACTTCTTTATCTGTTTTCTTTTCCTTTTTCACACTAGTATCTACAATGTAAAAAATCATTTTATGTATCTTCTCTGTCCATTGATTTACCCTAGTAGCGATTTGAAGTTGGTAGATGATGTTTGTATTGGTAAAGAGAAATTAAAACAAGACAATCACTACTTCCATTCTCTACTGTTTGATATGAGTTTGCTCTCTTATTGAAACACGTATGTATAGAAATTTAGGTCCCATGAAGTATATATATAAAAACTAGAGAAACACTAAGTAATTATTCCATTTTCATCTTCTGTTTTTTAAACAGGATTTAGAACATATAGGTGTTGTTTGTTATGCCACTGGAAATGGCAGAGCCTCACCTTATTAGATAAAAGGGAATATGCCATTACAAAAAAGTGCAAGCAACAGCTTTAGGCCAAAAAGGGAAAAATTAAAGATAAGATTGACAAGTTACTTGAATTGTTTCTTTATGAAATCCGACCTAAAAGGAAGTGGACTTATTTTAAATTAATTTTAAAAATTTATAAAGAATAAAAAAGGAAATTGTTTAATTAGCATGCATTTATTGAATAATTGGAATGGTCGGGCAAAGTGGTCCAAAGAATGGTAAGAAAATGCAAGAACTCCTTAGTCTCTATTATATATATATATGTATAGATAAGAGCAATCACCATCAAAGAACATATGAGTATTGCTCCTTTTACTGAATGTTTCTTATTTATATTAAGAGCAATGCTAAGGCGTCCAAATTTGGATGTTGTACAATTTTTGTTGTATTAAACAAGCAACCTTTCTCTTCTGATATCAAGCATGAAACTTTTGGACCATTGCTTTGGTTACGGATTAAAGCTTGGTCGAATATAAGGGAAACATATTCCAATTTAGGAGTTAGACATTTTGTGCAAAATGATACCAAACATTAAAGCCTAACTCCTCAACAATGACCTTTATACTTGCTTGTACACTGGGGCATAATCTTTATTCCTGCCTCTACACACTTTTAGAGAACTTTTTCTTTTTTCAAAGACACTGCTATATTCTTCGAGAGGCAATAAGCAGTTGATTGGATGGTGATCATCGGATTGACACCAACAGCACTGGGGAGAACACTAGCGTCGCAAACAAATAGGCCTTCTGCTTCCCAACTCTCGCCATTCACATCAACTGCACCTTCCTTTTCGTTGATCCCCATCCTACAACTCCCCATTTGATGGGCAGAGGAATAGGTTGTCCACTTCTCCACCAGTGATTGTGGCCCTTCAGCTGCATAAACTGTGTCCAAAAACTGCTCCAATTCCTTCTCTTTAATCCCCTCACATTTGATTCTTTGCCCATCGCTCTGATGGGTGCCCACCTCAACAGCTCCCGCGGCTACCAAAATCCTCAATGCCTGCCGCAACCCTGCCTTCATATCTTCTTTGTCCAATGTGTTGAAGTTATAGCTTATCCTTCCCTCTGACTTTACCTCTCCAGATCCTTGATCCCTAATCATTGAAAATAAATGAGCAGTTCTAGTATATTTCAGCATCCTATTCTTTATGTCAATTCCAGACTCCCAAGGACATAATGCAGCAAATGATGCTGGCCCTAAAGCAGGAGATTCAACAATGGCTCTTATGTTGGACTCCTCTGACACCACCTTATGTACTGACGTGATTATCCCACCCTCATAGTTTTTTCCCTTGAGCTCTAAATTAGACTCTGGAAAGTATCCCCATGCCATCAGAACAGGGTGGAGGTGAAGGTTCCGACCAATGTTTTGGTTTCTCAAACCACTAGATATCATCAGAGGGGGTGTCAAGAGTGATCCACATGCCGAGATTGTTACTTTGGCCTCAATGTGCAGTCTCTTTGCTATGTTTTCATTTGAAATTTTTGCAATAACTCCCCTGCATTTCTTTTTTCTTATCCTTCCGTGCTCATTCTTTTCTATTATGAATCTCTCGGCTTTGCATCCTGTTATTATCACTGCACCACAATTCACAGCATCAACCAGCCAAGTCGAGTCTGTCCCTTGTTTGTCTCCTGTTCTGCAACCATAACAGCAAGAACCACAGTAATGATTCTCTGAGGAATTTCGTGGCACTGCCTCAACTTCAAGACCAAGTTTTTCACACCCTTTACGGAGGACTTGATTCTGGAACCCTTCTTCCGTACATTTTTCTGTTACACCAATTCTTTCACACACTGTATCCATGGCTGATAAATATTGAGGGCTTGCAAAGAATGGGATCTTACAGTCCTCGGCCCACTCACGGAGCACATACTTTGGTGTTTTGATAGATGCTGACCAATTGACAGCCGAGCCGCCTCCAACTGTTGATCCTGCCAGGATAACCATTTTCCCATCAAGAGTTGAAAGGATCGTTCCTGATTCATATAGTTGATCCATGGAAGGACCTTCCAGCGAAGAATAATCTATACTACTGAAATAGTTCCCTTTCTCAAGAACGATGACTTTCTGGCCTGAACTTGCAAGAACAGCAGCTGCAACACCTCCACCACAACCTGACCCAACTATTACAACGTCACATTTGATCTTGTAGAGGCTTTCTTTAGGATCTACTCTGACTTTGAGGCCTTTTTGGGTGAGGGAATGAACAAGGCTTGATTCAGTCTCATGCATGGTTTCTACTATTCCTTTCTGAAGAGGCCTCTCCTTCCCTTCCTCTGGTATCTTTTCTTTGGTGTCTACATGATACCCAATGGCTTCCCATGAAGGATTATCTACATTTTCTCCAACCTATAAAAAGAATGGTAAAATTAAAGTCAAAACTATTGAACGTAAGACAATTGCTTCCATACATTATTCGATTAGATTTTGAGATAAGAGAATGAAGTATCACAAGAATGCATTTGTAATAGGTTCCATAAGAAGCATTCTTTTTAACCTGTTCCTCCTGGACTGATCTTTCATAATTAGAAGCATTTGTAGCTAAGTGAAGCAGGTCTGGGAAATGTAATCCTAAGTACTTATTTCTCAATTCCGTATTGAGACCTGATAAACCCGGTTTTCCAATTAATCAAATTTCACTCTTTTATTCTAATAATAGTATCTGTTTACCCTCATATACTGTCCAGTCCAAAGTTGCTATTAATCTACATATTTGTTACCCTAGACTACACTAGGATGTAGGACAGAAAAATGCTCAAGAATGCTTAGAAATAGCTTCTTCTCTGTAGATCTAAGTATTTTCCTTTCATTTCACTTGCTCTTTCTGAGTTCCAAACAAGGAAAATTTCTCTATTCCAACTTGAGAAACTAAAAGATCCTTGATCAATTATGAAAAAGGATATGTTTCTGAAACCTTTTTTTTTTTGAAACAAAATATATAGAAAAGGACATACATCTGTCTCATTATACTGGATACCAAAAACCTTGAACATAAAACTTACGGGTCAATTTAATAAAATTATAAGGCCTATAGTTTGAAAAGTCTTTTATCAATTAATTGGGTTGAAAATGACAATGATAACGACAACAATTATTATTAAACAACCCTTTTAGAAGGGTAGAAATATGAGCATATTGTACTGAATATTTATGAATATATATGTGGATTAAGAAAACAATCATCCAAGATTTTTCTTCAGAATCTCAGGAGATGGATGAGTTGTTATGATCAGTGTACCTAAACATGAGTCCCACTCAATAAATAAAGAAAATGGCTACTATGGTCCCTGTTGGTGGGTAGGGTGAATTGATATTAATAGCTACAGGTCTCCTATGGTACGGACGGTGAGTTGAACCCAACTTGAGCTGGACAAACTTTCTGATTTCTTTTCTTCTTTTGGTAAATAACAAACTCTGATTTTGTGTAGATTTTTGGGTTACCTCTGAAGTGAAGTAATGGCTTTACTACATTTGTCACTTACTTACCTGTTTTGCTTTATTGATTCCGATGTTGATGATAAGAACAATCCAAATAGTAATAATAATAGAGGGATCACGACTAGCATTAATGTCATTTTATTACTCCAGCAATTGAATTAAATTATTGTACCTGTGAATTGTAGTACTATTCTTTCATTGACTTCTTTTTTTCTTAAAAATAAAAAATTAAATTCTAGTTTATGGCACTTAATGGATTAGTTGGTTCTCAATGTCTGGTTAATGTATATATGTCTACTTCAATTTTCGCTGCACTGATTCTGAACTTATTTTCTGTTTGAAAGATTTTGATTTCAACATTAGAAATTTTTAAGTGTCCAGTACACTGGACAAGGATAATTACCTTTTTATGCTTTCAAATTTTCATGTTTTAAACCTTGTTAATGTATAAAAGTGTTCCGAAAATTAGAAGGGATATACACATACATATATACATAAATTTATGTAACCTATGTAGAAACCATATTCAAAAGTTGTGTGTGTGAATGTGTGTGTGTGTGTGTGTGTGCACACACACAATAAACAGACTAAGTTGAGTGATGAGTTGTGTGTGTGAAAAGGCCTTATAATTTACCTGAGAGAAGAAGACCAATAAACAGACTAATTTGAGCAACACAAATCCAAGTCTGATGGGCATGAGAAGCCAATTTCTGAAGCATCTCTGAATAATCTGCTCTCTCTTGTCGAGGGAGATATGTGAGAAGTTGTTGAGGAATGGCCATTTATCAGTAAAACAGAGAGACCCGCAAAGCAATAAAGTCCCCAACCTAGTTGACAGAACTCTCAAAACCACTCTCACCAATATCACAGCTTCCAAAAATCCCCTCTTCGCTATTCTCGTTGCAACCTTTTTCAATCCAAAACAAAAACAAAGTGTTTATAAATATATAGATTCGTATCCGTTAGAGATCAATACAGTAATAAATACGCCAATTATTTTGTTATTCTAACTGTGTCCTCTTGCACCCAGAAAGAATTTGAGTTCCAGATATCAACCCAAATCCTCTCCTGTGTACTGATTGGTCGATCGAGATCGAGAGGGTGAAATCACCCCATACGAGTCTCTAGGACCACTCTCCATGTGAGGGTAATGTCCATCCTCTCTTGTGTCCACGCACTAGAGCTTCCAGTACAGGGAATCCTAATTCATGAGTCGTTATGAGATACACCTCTACATCCAACACTTTGGTCGTCTGCAAAGTGGAAGTGTCACAGAGAGAGATACTGACACTTCAAACAATAGAAAAATAAAATTCTCCTACACTTTTTTTTTTTTTTTTTTGATAATTATGTGGTTTCATTAATCGAAATCAACAAGTACAACAAACATAGATAAAATTCCCATGCCCACTTTAAATATGTTATAAGTCACAACATAGGATGCAACACACCATAATTAAAAAAATGAAGTGTAGGAGTAACTCCATCTTTTACACACACACACACACACACACACACATATATATATAGAGAGAGAGAGAGAGAGTTTTCAAGTAATTATCACCTCGTCAGGTATTGGATATTGAGAGGCAGAAGCTTTGAGGAAGGATGGAATGGGGTTGTTGGTTTGGCAGTCCTTTCCTGGTGCAGTGAGCTCTAGAGAATTATTATTATTATTATTCAAAGGCAGAGAAGGTAGGAAAACCTCACAAATGCTAGCCAGAGTTTCCATATCTGACCTCGAAAACCCATGATCATATTTACTCTGTCTTCTCCCTCCCCTCAACAAAGGATGGCAGTCTCTCCCCATTCTCTCTCTCTCTCTCTCTACAGATTGATTGATTGAATATTGTTTTGCAGTGGACTATTTATATTGTTGAAATCTTATAAGGTGGCTTGAATTTGTAAACTGTATCCCATAAAAGAGCTAGCTGGATTATTAATTGACTTTATCTTCTTTAATTCTTTTATTTTTTCTCCTATAAAGGTATTTTCAAAAATGGTATTTTCAAATTACAATCCTGATGTGCCGTTATCAGAACCACATACTAGATAAGATTGTTTTATTGTCTTTTAGAATTTACATATTCCAGACACAACGATAAGATTGTTTCATTGTCTCTTAAAAATAAAAAACAATCTGACATATTAAGTTACATAGATTTAACTTATCCAACCGTTCTAGACCCTGCAATAGCAGGAGCTTTATAAGACTATTCCTTTTACTTTCTTGTCTAAAATCGAACACGACTTATATGATTTAAATAATTTTTTTCTTCACAAATTCATTAAAACTTTAAAAGGATTAAATTAAGTTAGAAAAAAATTTATTTTAGTTTGTTAACAAACTTTTAATCTCATTTACTAGAAGTTGATAAATAAAGCAATCTTTTTATTTAATTTTTCAGTGACTAACGAGGGAATGTTTGTGATGAATCTTTCATTTAAAAAAAAAAAAAAATTATTTTCTGTGAATTTGTAGGGGTATTTGTTAGGACTGTTATTTATTTTCGTTGGGATTTTCCTATATTGAAGGAAACCTTTCTTATTTGACGTGACCTATAACTAAGCATGACCCAACAACTATCATAAATACAGATTGCTTCTACACTCTGCTTCAGGAAACAAACTTGTGAGCAGTCTACATCTTTAAGATTTTTTTACGATCAAGTGCTACTAAGAGTTCGTATTAAATTCTTATTTTTCAAATGAAAGTAAATATTTAGTGGTATTAAATTCTTATTTTTCAAATAAAAATAAATAATTTAAACTTTAGTGGGAGGTATATGTGTGAGTACTAACTAACTAAATATATTAAATGTGTTAATATATTATATCACCACTACAATGTCGGCATGCAAAGTTTTGTTAATCAATGTCTATTTCAAAAGATTAAGATGGTAAAGAAAGTGTAATATTAGTGTGTGTGTGTGTGTATATATATATTTTAATAATGCTATTTGGGTGTGACTTCCTTGGTATGTCAGCATTCGCATGAATGGCGTGTGTTTAAATTCGTGCACACTCTAGACATTTGGATTATAATAATATCATGTAAATATCAATTGCCTTGCAAACTTAAATTATTGGTCACTAAAGTTGTAATTTAGTGATATTATTTTTCCTTTCAAGCATGATTATCATGGACCGATATTGTTAAACATTCCCATGAATCGGTCGATTCGGTTAATTTATATTGATGTTCGTCTGAATTCATTACACCGCAATCGCTATCCCAACCAATAACACGATTGTGAACCATGCTTTTAAGAGAGTTGTTCTTTACAGGAAAAAAGTTTGTGTGTGAGTTTATATATATATATATATATATATATATATATACAGGAAGGCTCTCATGCGATCCAAAACAACGAACTTTTCAACGAACAAAAACTCAATTAGTCAATTACACTTTATTATTTTATTAGACTTGACTATAGTTAATAATATTAGCTTTAATAGTCAATTTATTCTATGACATAGGTCAGATTCATTGCCCATTCAAGACCATTTTTTATAGTTTTGGCATCTTCTAGACTAGTGAAAAGGAAGGCAAGGAGTGAGAAAAAACAAATATATAAAGTATATGCAACAATGTATTCTGAATTTGAATATATATTTAATAAGAACCCTTCTTTATCCCATTTCTTTTGTTTTTCCCACAACAAGGCTGCACACAGGAAAAATAATCACGAGACTCAAATAGTATGGAACTTGTTCAACTTTTGCTTCTTCTTCTTCTTTCTTCCTTTTTGTTTTTTGTTTTTTTTTGTTTTTGTAAACAATCAAAAACTTTACTTTACCATCCCATTAATTTTATAATTACAATATAACATCATGAAGACCTTTAGACATCATAAAATCACGTATTTATTTTATATGTAGAAAAAATAATATTTTAAATTTATATTAATTTTCAAATTTATATATTTTTTGTTTTTTAATTCTCATATGTTGGAGAATGAATATGGTAGTTGTGTTGTGATAGTAGTGGTGAAGATAGTGGACATGACGGTAGTGGTTAAGGTTGCAAGGAAAATGGAAGAGATTAAAGAGGAAAGAGACTGAATAAAGGTATTGACTAATTATGGTAAATTGACTATTAAAGTTAACATTATTAACTATGGTTAAATCTGATAAAGTAATAACGTGTAATTGACTAATTGAGTTTTGTTCAGTTGAAAAGTCCGTTATTTTAGACAATATGAAAGCCTGCCTGATTTATATATATTAGAAATATATATATATTAGACTAAAGAGTGTTATATATAATAATTTTAGCGGTGCCAGATGAGTCACATCTTCATCTTCAACAGGGTTAATGTAAAGATATGCAAGGAGTGGTAGAAGTTTTTGAAATATGCTTAACTTTGATGCAATAATTCAATAAATTGCACTTAAACAAATACTATATGTAGTATAAGAACTTAAATGTGCAATGTTGTAAATATTCATTATTTTGTACAGCCCAATCGGTGTTAGAAAGTAATATTTATTAAATTAATAAATACTCCTTGAATTAGAGATAAGCTTGATTTTTAAAAATGATTTTTTCCCCTCCATTCTGATCATTTTATCTCATTGTAATTAATGACTATTAAGATTAGATCTTTAAGTTATAATTAATTGTATATACGTCTGCCTAGTCAGTGTGCGTGTATATATATATATATATAAAACACATATCGGCGTGTGACCTTTGTGTGCATAAAATGGGCAATAATATTGGGGGCAAACAGCTGTAGCTTAGAGTGATACATGCACCTTAACATGATTATTTTATTAGTGGGGCATAATTAATTATATTTACAGGGAAAAAAGGGTCTTAGAATACGTCCACTAGGCTCTTTTATTTTTGTAAAGCCAAGTCAAATTTCTTTTTTAAACCAAAGCCAACTTGTTTATAAGTCAACTCATGTAAATATATAAGTCTTCTACCAGAGAATTGCTCCCTTATTTAAGAATGTTACTTAAACTAAAAGTCGTATTATCTGTTGGGCAAAAGTTTCGAGTATTTATCATTTGTTAACACTTTAAAATTAATATGTTAGATTATATTTCAATTTGACATGTTTTCATAATTCAATTTCAGTATCATTAAAAAAAAAAAATTCCAAATTTTAAATGATTGAAAGTTCATCCATCACAATCTCTCGTAAATTAATTTTGAATTCCATTAATTTTATACCCGTTTTTGGATTGTACCGGCTCCTGTTTTTAATCAACAAATCCCATCTACTTCAGGAAAATATAAATTTATGGTGTATGCAGAACCAACATCAAACCTGGAGGTTGAGAAGGGGGTCATGGAAATTAAAGTTATAACCAATAATTAAATTTTGTTAGGTTTCTTTCTCCACAATCTGGTTCCATATGGTTCCAATTTAATTAGATCAGAACTGCATTGATTCCAACGAATCTTTAAAAAATCTTAAAAAATAAAATGAGAATTGAAATTGCCAATTTAGATCAGAACCGCGTTCATCTCAACAAATCTTAAAAAATAAAATGAGATTTGAAATCGAACCGAATCGTGAAAGATCAATTTGGTTCAATTCTAAATTTATGGAGGTGGGGGAACGTATGCAGAACCAACATCAAATCTGGAGGTTGAGAAGGGGGCCATGAAAATTAAAGTTATATTCAAGAACTAAATTTTGTTAGGTTTCTTTCTCCTTCATTAATAACTACTAAATTTTGTTAGGTTTCTTTCTCCTTCATTAGTAACTAGGGGTGCACAATCTGGTGGTTCTGTATGGTTCCAATCGGATTGATTCCAACGAAACTTAACAAATAAAATTGATGCTAAAATTTATAATCAAACCGAATCGTGAAAGACAAGTTTGGTTCGATTCTGGTTAACGATTCACTTTTGATAATTATTTTTATTATCATGAGAACAAATTGATAATTATTTTTTATAATACATTTATGTACTTTTGAGTAGTCTTATATTTGTTACATGTGATATATAATTATATATATATATATATATATTTTATTCAGTGTTATGTGATAATAGACTTAGAAAACTTGAACCGTGTTTCTTGTTTTGAAATCAGAGTCGAATCGTGCAAGTTCGGTTTGATTCGTATTGATTTATCGATTTTAACAATTTTTTATGCACTTCTAAAAATTTACGGGGAAATTAATATCCGAGAGATTAATTAGTGACCACTCCACAAACACATACATATACATATACATACATGTATGTGTGTGTGTGTGTATATATATATATATATATAATCTATTTTATAGCACGGGGAGAGTGAGAATCCCACCTTTTCCAAATCCTGTGACCATCTGTACCTCCTCTTATCATTTTATTGGACATCCCTCTTTATGAGTGGACTAATTGCCTTTGTCTTTACAAGCATGTGAATATAGTGAATTAAAAGAAATCTTAAAAGGCTCATTTGCTTCCACATATTTTTGGTAACATCAATTCAACGTCAACTTTCTCGAAATGGTGGAAATTATTAAGAAAAAGGAAAGAAATTGACATCCAAGTGTTTTTCCAAATTTCTCTGAATATTTTTCTTTTTCTTTCCATTTTTGATGATAAATAAAAAACTTGAAGGGAAAACATTTGCATACACTTTTCTTTTTCCACGGTTAAACCTATGAACAAAACAGATTCTTATTACTATCTCATTATGTCTAAAACTCTAAATACACTAAAACACATGTATATATAATACAGATATACATGTATTAAAACGAAAGCCAAAGCTACTATACCATATTGCTCATATACATGACCCTTTCTTTATTTGAACAGCATTAATTTTATACCTGATTAATGATGCTATCTCTCAAACAATATAATATATATATATATATATATATATATATATATATATATATATATGT